CGATTTGGGGAAGCTATTGTTCTATTTTTGGTGCTTGGTATATAAATATTTGTTGAATGAATAATATGTAACAGATATTAAGTTATATGTCAGGTACTGGGCATATAATATCATATTTAATTTTCACAATGGAAACAATGAAGGAATTACAGCACCTTCCCCCATGGTAACATTTTCTTTTTAATATATGTGTACAGCAAGTTTATCTCTATGTAAAATAATAACAAACATTTCCATTGCACTCACCTCAAGTGCTGAAGTTCAGCAGCAGTAGATCCTTCTGTTTTATTCCTGTACAGCTTACCTTAAAGTATTGTTCTGCCACAGTTGCATTTTAAACGGCAACTCAATGGATTCTATACACACTACTCACACTTACCTCAGAAATGACCACTGATAAACTACAGTAAAAGCCTGATTGACCAGCAGATGGGGACCATGAAGAAGGAACCAGTTATTCCAATCTCTTTAACCAAGTATTAATTCAGGTCTGAAAATGACCAGGCCAGTATTTTTGAGGAGAACACTATGCTGCACAAATTACTGCTTCTAAAACTGCATAGAAAGTTTTTGGCCAGAGAAATGCAAAGAAATGGGTAAGAAGTGACAATTAAGAAATGGTTATCTAGCCCAGCTGCTATGGCTCAGTGGTTGATCATCGACTCATGCACCAAGAGGTCACTAGTTCGATTCCCAGTTAGGTCACATGCCCAGGTTGTGGGCCCGATCCCCAGTGGGGGCATGCAGGAGGTGGCCAATCGATGTTCTCGCTCATTGATGTTTCTATCTCTCTCTTCCTCTCCCTCTCCCTTCTTCTCTCTCTCTAACATCACTAAAGAAAAAAAATGTTTTTAAAAAATGGATTAAAAAATAATAAATAAATAAAATAAAAAGTGGTTATCTAGACCAGTTCAAATACTGAGGTGAACATAGTTTAAAAATACCACTTCATTATTGCTGGCTAATTATCTCTTCAGTGGAAGACGAATGCCTATACCTTTAACTTTAATAACTTAAGTTTAAGAGAGTCTCACTGCCCTGGCCAGGTGACTTGGTTGGTTGGAGCATCGTCCCATACACCAAAAGGTTTTGGGTTCAATTCCCAGTCAGGGCACATACCTAGGCGCATAAGTGAGGCAACTGATCAATATTTCTCTCACATTGATATTCTCTCTCTCTCTCTTTCTCTCTCTTCCTTCCTCTCTAAAATCAATAAACATATCCTAGAGTGAAGATTAAATAAAAGAGTTTCTCACATCCCTGGGGAGGGGTTTTCCTTCATGAATTCCACTTCTGTCATCCATTATATTTAATCATCTTAAGTCTAATTTTTAAATAACCAATTCTAGCTTTTCACTAGAATTAACAACACAGCACATACGCCTTTATCAAAGTATCAATCATATTCTCTAACAATTAGTGAATATGGTAGAATTTGGAAGAACCCTGCAAATGCCAAATCAGCACATTTGGCTAGTTAGGGGGAGCTACCAGAGATCCTTGCAGCTAAAAACAAAATTTAGAGTTGTTCCTAACAATTTCTTTACTTCATATTCATCTTTCTCCTCATATTCTTTCTTACTCAAGGAGAATCAAATGTGCAAAGGACTCAACTACACAAAATTCACAGGAAGTTTACCACCAAAACCCTCCTTGATAAAAGTATGTATAAGAAATCCACAAAATAAGTTGATGAACAAAATAGACCCAGAGGCATAGTAGTAGGGTACAGACTGACAAACCTCAGAAGAGGGGGACAGGATGGGGGAGATAAACCAAAGAACTTATATGCAAGTATGCGTAACCAATGGACATAGACAACAATGCTGGGGAAAGGGGCAGGATCGGGAGGAGGGTGTCAATGGGGGAAAAAGGAGAAACATCTGTAACAAAAATAAATTAGTAATAAAAATATATATATATATAAAATAAATCCTCATGTCCAAGATATAGGAGGGACTGGGGAAAGTAATCAGTTGAAAAGGGAGCTATGAATAAAGGACAATCAAACTAGCTGCATTATATACACTGAAAATGTTAATGGAAGCCTGGCCGGTGTGGCTCACTGGGTGATCATCAACCCATGTACCAAGAGGTGGCCAGTTTGGATTCCCAGTCAGGGCACATGCCCAGGTTGTGGGCCTGATCCCCAGTGGGGGGCATGCAGGAGGCAGCCAATTAATGTTCTCTCTCATTGATGTTTCTATCTCTCTCTCACTCTCCCTTCCTCTCTCTCTAAAATCAATAAAATACATACATACATAAATAAAATGTTAAGGGAAGATTTAAATTATACTAGTGGAAATTTAGCCTCTTTAAAATCCAATATCTAAGATTAGTTTCTCTTTTCACAAAAAATTAGTGACTGTATACATTTAAATTTTATTTTACTTTAAACATTTGACAAGCACAAAACAGAATTACAAAATAGTCAATGAAGAATACATTGAGGTTACATGAAAATATATACTGAGAATGAAGTTCCTCATAGTACAGTTAAAGTGTAGAAATTATAGGAGTTTAGAAATACAGAATTACAGAAGACAAGATACATTAAGCCTGTCATAACTGTTTAAAAGAAAAGAACAATAGCTTATAGAAACCTCGATTAATTTTAAAGCCCAGTTCTTCCTTTAAAATTTCTTATGTAAATAATGAATATGATAGAGTAAATCAGCCTAAGAATGAAAGAATTTAAGAGTTAGAAGTATAGTTATAATATCATCTAATCCACTCCATTTTAAAGATGAGAAAACAGAGGCCTAATGAGAAGCTTTGCCCAGACAATAAATACTTAAAGTTTCACATACTTCCAAATTATAGGTTTAAGTTAATCTCCATTTCATTATATATACTGCCATTTGCTTAGACAGTAACTGAAAGACTACATTATTAAGATCTGAGCTCTGAATCCAACTGTCACTTGGTAGATTGTTGCAAAAAGGACACATAAATAGGTAGAAAAGACAGCAGTATTCTTTAAAATGTGAATTCCTCATGTTAGTTTTCGAATACAATCCATTCTTTAAAAATTATTCTATGTGGTAGGTAAACTGTAATCAGACTGAAGATAACTGTGCTAACATATTTATAAGAAATCAGATTTCTTTACAGCCCTTAAGGATCTGTGCCATTCTTGTATACACAAAATGTTCTTATAGTATACTCCTATCTCCTAAATCTATCTTTAATGAAGAATATATAATGTTAATTATCTGCTTTGACCTTTTGATATTTTCTAGTTATAGAGTAAAAATTTAGGGAGGGGGGGAATACACCAAGATATTAGTTTAAGAGAAGCCAAAATGTACTAGTGCCTTGTGTTGTCTTTATCAGTTGTTATTGTACCACACATAAGGTAAACATGGCATAAAATTAATTTAATGAAATATATTGAGTGCCTATTATGTATAAAGCGATTAAATTGTTTGGCTGGACATAATCAGATCAAATTTAGTTTGTTACTTCAGTTCCAAATAATGTGGTAATACATTATTCCAGAATTTTTTGGCACCTGGTGACTTCAGAAAAATTTTAGAACCATTTTCTAAAACTTGTTTTGACTGCACTGGCATTCTGAACCTCCGGATTTCATGTTCTTTCCCCCTTCCCTCTATGTTAGTAATAAACTTTTTTTGATATGTTTTATCTTTGTCATATTTCACACATCTTCTGATTTTGCTCATTTTTCTGGACTCTTTTCCTTCACCCTGTCTTCCCAGACTTTCACCCTCTTCATCACCTGTCTCCTGGTAATTCCCCTTCTCTTCCTCAATGTCCCCCTCTTCCTCCTCTTCTCTCCTCTCCTTTTCTTCTTCCCTCTTCTCTACTTCTCCCTCCTTCCCTTCCCTTTCCTGGCCTTCCTCCTTCCCTTCTTCACCCTCTCCTTCCTCCCTTTCCCCTTCCTCCCTTACCTCCTCTCCTTCCTCCCCTTCCTCTTCTTCTTCCCCTTCCCCCTCCTCCTCCTCCTCTTCTTCCTCTTCCCCCTCTCCTACCTCCTCTTCCCCATCCCCTTCCCCCTCTTCTTCTACCCATTCCCCTTCCTCTTCCCTCTCTCCTTCTTCCCATTTTCCCTCTCCTTCTTCCCCATCCCCGTCCTCACCTTCTTCCTCTCCTTCCCCATCCCCTTCCTCACCTTCTTCCTCTCCTTCTTCCCCATCCCCTTCCTCACCTTCTTCCTCTCCTTCCTCACCTTCTTCCTCTCCTTCCCCATTTCCTTCCTCTCCTTCCCCATCTCCTTCCTCACCTTCTTCCTCTCCTTCCCCATCTCCTTCCTCTCCTTCCCCATCTCCTTCCTCACCTTCTTCCTCTCCTTCCCCATCTCCTTCCTTTCCTTCCCCCTCCTCTTCCCCTTCTCCTTCTTTTCCTCTCCACTCTCCTTCCTCTCCTTCCCTCTCTACTTCATCTTCTACCTCCTCTTCATCCCCCTCTCCTTCCTCCCCTTCTTCAGCTTCTTCCTCTTCCCCTTCCTCTTCTCTTTGCTCCTCCCCTTCCCCTTTTTCCATTCTTTTGTTTCTTTCCTCCTGGTTACCTTGTTCCCTCTCTTTTCGCTCCTGTTTCTTCTCTTCTAAATCTTTCTCTCCCTTAGTCAGGCTCTCTATTTCTCTTCCTTCTTTGTCATTCTCCCCCTCTTCCTCGCCTTCCTCCTCTTCTTCTTTCCCTTCTTCCTCCTCTTCTTTCTCTTCTCTGTCTTCCTCCCATTGTTCCATTTGTCCCTCTTCCTCATCCTCTTCCTCCTCTCCTTCCCCTTTCTCCAACCCTTTGTTTCTTTCCTCCTGATGACCTTGTGCCCTCTCTTTTTGCTCTTGTTTATTCTCTTTTAAATCATTCTCTCCCTTAGCCTGGCTCTCCATTTCTTCTCCTCCTGTGTCATTCTCCTCCTCTCCCTCCTCACTTTGCCTCTGTTCCACTTGTGAATTACCCTTCTTCCAGATTCCCTCACATCCACTTTCAGGCACATCCCTTGCCTCTCCCCCTGACTTTCCATTGCCTTCACTCACCTCTTCTCTGTCTGTAAGGTCATCTGACAGGATCTCTGCTTTCTCCTCCTCCTTTCCTCCATGCATCTCCACATTTTCCTCTACCTCTTGCTCCTCTATTCCACTTCTTTCTAAATCCTCTGCTCCTTCCTCTTCCTCTGGAATCTCTGGCAAGTGGTCAGACTTAAAATCATATTTTCCCATGAATTCGGGTATTTTGAGTTCAGTTTCTTCCTCATGTTCTTGTTCAATACATTTCCTGCTATACCATAAGTTTTGGTAAGTTTCCATTTCATCATCATCTTTTTCTCCACTACTACATTCTACTGACTCAGGCAGCTCAAAGCCATCAGTTGTACTGTGCTGACTTCCACTTTCACCTTCCAAGTAACTGTATGGCTCCTCTACAGATTCTCTTTCATTGTCAAAGATCCCATCTTGCTTGTTCCTTTTCCTTTCCTTAACAAAATCATTTTCTTCAAAATACTCATCAATATTCATGACTCTATTTGGTAATTCATCAAAGAATCTGTTAACATCTTTTATATCCTCTTCACTTTTTCTTATATCCTTCAGACCTGCCATTTCTGCCAGCTTAGTTTCCTTCTCAGAGACTATTTCTTCTGCTTCTGAATCTTCCTGACTGCATTTTCCATCATTTTTATTTCCTATTTCCTTATCATCAAGTGGATAAATACTATGTTTATTTTCAAATCTAAAGGTCTCTTTTTGTAAGCCCATCTCATTGGTGTCAGCCTGAGGCCCAGGTTGGCCTGAGTTGTTATCTACATCCTCATCTGAGCATGCTTCCACATTCCCAGCTGTTGGTACCATGTATGTTCCTTTAGCCAAAATTTGTTTATATACTTTCCCTTCTTTCATTTTTTGGGACATCTCTTCACTTTCACATTCATTGCTATCATCATTTTCAGTATGAGTTGTATGCTGCTTCAGATTCTCAATTGTTTCTTGTTTCTGTAAATTTTTTGAAGCAATCGTCATACTACTATTAGTTGACAAAGGTAACTTACTTACTATACAAACTGCCAAAATTTTTAATTGTCAGTTTCACTAAGAGAACAAAAACGTCCAGTTTTGCCAAACATTTTGCCCAGATTTTGTTTTCTTTGGGGATGATTTATGCTGCTCTCTATGTCTATGGTACATCTAATTTTGATTTGGTAACACATGTCTGTATTTAACTTTCAAATTCTTACTACTTGCCTTAATTTTGCCATTACACACAGTACCATCAATATTTATTCTCTGACCCTTTTCTAAATCTGAATCAATTCTTAAATATGATTCATTTTCAGACTGATTTTGCAAAATACTGTTTAAAATATATACTTCTCTTGCATTCAGTACAGTTTAATTTTTTCTACTTTTCTTATTGTTTTAATTATCAAATTTTGATTGGTCTTTCAATTTCATAAAATTTGCAAAATTAAAGAAAGTAAATAAAAATGTAAAATTTCTATAAGTTGAAAAAATAAATATTTCTGGAAGAAAATAACTAAAATAAAAACTGAAAATAAAATCTTTATCAATATACTAAATAATAATGAATATATTTCTTTTCAAAACAAAATCTTGAGTTTTCAAGATTTTGACCCTCTTATCTATTATATTATTTAATTATAATAATTTGCATACATAAACAACCACTACAAGGAAAATACTTAAGACAAAACTATAAAATTAAACATTGAAATCTGAATGATACATTAAGAAGTGGAAAAAATAAGTCAAAAATAAAATTGCTGACCTAAATTTTGCAAGCTAATAGGTTGAAATATTTGATAAATGTGGGTCTCTGGGTAGTAAAACCTCACTAAATCAAGTTTTATAAATTGCGATGAGTGTTAGACCCAAGAAAAGGTCTTTTTTTTTTTTTTTGCTAAAGAAATTGTTTAAAAAGCACAAGTTAAAAATTAATATATAGAACTATTATAATAAATCACTTTTTAGTTACCAAAGTAAGCCTGGTAGGGCTTCTACTTAAAAGGAGTATGTGAAGTATAAAATATATTATCAGTTCAAAAGAAAATGCCTTCATTTTCTATTTGTTCTAGGTCCTATTCTTTAAAAAGTCATGATTCTTTCATGAGCCCTAAGAGAGACAGAGGCCCAGGTGCCAGAAATGATTCCTAAATGTACATGCCTTTATTTCCCCAGCACAATAAAGCAGCACAGAAGAGGCAGAGCCCAGAGTCTAAGACAAGAGGAAAGAAAGACACAGAAAAGCTGTCTGTTGGGAAGTCAATAATCTGTCAACATTCACCGAGCTTCCACAACTGTCTTAGAACAGCTCTCCCATATTTTCAAAAAAGGCTATTATTCACCATGACTCTCAGTAAAATAAAGATACAACTAATGAGGATTCGCACTACATTTTTATAATTTAGCAGATTCTCTTGCATTTCAGTGACCTTAAGGATTTTTAGCTTAACAATGTGTAAAAGGCACTAGAAATATAAATTAAATGTTTTTATAGCCTTTTTCCTTCAATTTACATTTCTCCAATTTATTCTTCTAATCCCCAAACTCCTCATACTTTCACCCCACTGGTCTGTAAAACTAGAAAAAAGCAAAGGATTTTAGGGGAGGCCTTTATCTCTCCAGGGTTGTGAAAACCAGACTATTCCTTCCTCTTGCTTCTCATTTGTTATTCATTAAAGGTCTGTTTTTTATCAATCATGCAGTTTCTGACTCATTTCCAAATGTTTAATCTTGTTTTTATGCTACCAATTCCTTGATAAATTAAAGCCCATTCCAAACATTGGAAAAGCAATTATTAAATATTTTCACTAAAACCACAAAATTTTAGAGCTGGAAAAGATGTTAATCTAATTCTGTATGGTCAGCACAGTTACCCATCCAAAGTAATACTCAAGTAAAGTCCGAGAGCCACTCTGATAAACAGCAGGCTCTTCCAGTGCTTAAGAACTACAATAATCTTTTGCCTTGACAAGAAAGTATGACTATTCTGACTTGTTAAGTGACTCCAAAGAACAAATTTCAGCATTGGAATTCTGGCAATCATGTTGCATTGCAGAAGGTACACAGCAACAGAACAAGCCTAAATTGAGGTGATCTACATTATATTTGTGTCTTTCCAATTCTAAAGTAAGTAAATGCTTACCTTTCTTGTGTTCTTTCCAGAAACCTTTCAAATAAAAAAAGTTAAACTGTTCTTACCCACCATAATAAAAATAACTCTCTATATTATACCTTTTGTTTTTGAATTGGCGATAATTTTAAAGACTTTTCATTGGAATTTAGGCTCATCATATGTGTCTGAAATAAATAAAAAAGTAAATGTTCTAAAAGCAATGAAGACTATATATATGATTATATATTTATACATTCTAAAAATATATAAATAATGCAAAACAGCTTAGATAATAATATAATCAACTCACAATTGCATACTTATAATGTGAGGATTGAAATTAATTTTATTGCATATAACCTATACCTCAATAAACCTGATTTAAAAATAACAAAATGAAACCAAAACAAAAAGCATTCTATTCATATAACAGTATAGGAAGTACACATATACATACAAATATGTGATGAACTAAAATTCAAACTTATATCTAAATACCTAAATAAGAAAACCATTACCATATTTAAGACATTAGTAGTTTCTCCAAGACTTTTTGAATCCGCTGATGAAGAACTATCTGTATCCTTCACTTTGGTCATTTTATCTTGAAAATAATCTGAAAAATTAAAAGGGAAAAGAGAAAAACAGATTTCAAAGGAAAAGTAAAAGACAGCTGAACAATAAATAGAAATTATTCTGTAATATAAAGTGCAGATATAATTTTATTGAAGGTCATTTAACCACATAATAAGGGAATTAAACAGAATTCATTCACAGTGATAACAGGTTTTAAAATTTCTCTTTGAAAATTTGAAGATTTTGACACTGATGAGATAACAATTGCTTCCTTCATATGAACAGGAGAACACTATTCCTTGGGGATAAATACTACCCAGGTATCAAGCACTGTGGGAGCCAGTCTGAAAAAAAAAGGACCCAATGACCCACATCCTCCTGGTATAGATACCCCAGTATAGTTCCTTTCCACATTTTACCAGATTAGTCTATATGGCCAGTAAAATAAAGTGGACATAATTGTGATGTTATTGTGGTTTGTGTCTTGGTCCCACATATGCTCTCTCTTTCTTGGATCACTTGCTCTGGGGGAAGCCAAGTTGTGAATATCCCTAGGGAAAAGCCCATATAACTGAGGAAGTGAAGCCCCCTGGCAATGGCCACAAGAGTGAACATAGAAAATGATCCTCCAGCCCCAGTCCAGTCTTCAAATGACTGCAGCCCCATGTGACAGCCTGTTTGCAACTGCATGAAATGTCCTGAGCCATAACTACTCAGCTAGGCTGCTCCTGGATTCCTAATCCTCAGAAACTGTGTGAGATAAAAAATGTATGTTATTTTAACACTATAAGTTTTAGGGTCATTTATTATGTAACAACAGATAACTAGTATAAGCACCTAGAAACTTGCACAGGAAATTGTAAGGTTATTATATCATAAAGATAATGAAAATTATTAGCTCTATTTACCTTACATTTTTCTCAATTATTATATTCCTATTTAGCACTTGTATATTTATTTGTGAGGAGCTCCTTAATGAAGTTGTCACTAAAAATGCCAGTACACACTGATCTTTCTCTTATAAATTCATTCAATTCAAATGAGCAAGTAATCAGTTTGTGTTTGTTCCATGTGCCATACTATGCAAAAGATATCAACTTAACTATTAATTCTTTTTTTAGGATGCTATACATTTTTTTTTCTATTACAATTTACATTCAATATCATTTTGTATTAGTTTCAGGTGTACAGCACAGTGGTTAGACAATCATAAACTTTACAAAGTGCCTTCCCAATATTTCATGTACCCACCTGGCCCTGTACTTAGTGAACCTATAGTCTAGAAGGGAATATAAAATATATGACATAGGGGAATGAGAAATCACATCTGAATGCTGGGAATCAGGAAATGTTTCACTAAGGAGGTATAGGGAAGGATGAATAAAATTCTGAGAGGCAGAGATGAAGGTGGACAAGAAAATGAAGCCCAGTGCTAACAGAAGCAGAGTTGCTTGTACTGAAGGGTTACCACATGCTGGGAACAGATGCTTTTATACATGTTGGGTTAATCTCATGACAAGAGAAGTGAGTATTATATCTCCACTGCACAAATGAATAAATTAAAGTTCAGTGACCTGCTCGGCCTGTATGGTTCACGGTTGAACATCGACCCATGCACCAGGAGGTCTCTGGTTCAATTCCTGGTCAGGGCACACATGCCCAGGTTGTGGGTCCAATCCCCAGTGGGAGGCATACAGGAGGCAGCCAGCCGATGTTCTTTCTCATCTATGTTTCTATCTCTCTCTTCCTCTCACTTCCTCTCTCTCTAAAATCAGTAAAGAAAAAAAGTTTTTTTTAATAAATAAAGTTCAGTGACCCTTTTGGTGCTAAGTGTCAATCTCATGTCTGTCTTAATTCTACAGCCTTTCCACTGAGTTTGACTGTGAAGAGCTCAGTTTGATAAAAATTAGGGGTTGGCAAACTTCTTCTGTAAAAGGCCATAAAGTAAACGTTTTAGGCTGTGTGGCCATACAGTCTCTGTCCTAACTAATCAGACTCTACTACTGTAGTGTAAAACCAGCCATAAACAACACATTAAAGGAATGGGCATGACTGAGTTCCAAAAACTACAAAAACGGGGGGCTGGCCAGATTTGTTCCATGGGCTATAGTTTGTAGACTTGTGATCTCACTTAATGCTATAAGAAAAAGACAATTGAGAGATAAAATGAGAAAAGCAGGTGGGAGTCATATGGAAAAATTTACACTTATTAAAAAAAATATATTAGGGATCCTCTCAAGACACTGGAACAGACAGGAACTAAACTGTACCTGAGGAAGATTAATGTATAAAGTGCTAAGAAGACGGATTGGAGGGCAGAGAGTGGAGGCTTGATAAACAGACAGTAGATCATTTAAGCTCAAGGCCTTGCTTTATACTTTACTGAGAAATTAGAACTCATCAGACCTGATCGCCTTTATCTTCTCACCAACAAATGTACACATTTACCTATATTTTCCTGTTAAAAAAACATGATCTCACTTATATACGGAATATAATGAACATAACAGTCTGAGGAATACAGTAGATCCAGAAACATGGAAGTAGGGCACAGACTGACATCCCTCAGAAGAGGGGGTGGGGGGGGGGGGATGGGAAGAGATAAACCACAGAACTCATATGCATGTATGCGTGACCAATGGACATGGACAACTAAGCCGGGGACGGGGCGGAGGCGGGGTGGGGTGGGGGGTGCCAATGGGGTAAAAAGGTAAAATATCTGTAACAAAAAAATAAATAAATAATTCATAAAAAAATAAAATAAAAAAATAAAAATAAAATGTAGGATGTCTTTCCTCTTACTAAAGACTGCTCTGGTGGGAAGAAATAAACCAAAGAACTTATATGTATATATGCATAATCAATGGACACAGACAACAGTGTGGGGAAAGTCAGGAGGGGAACAGGAATGGGGAGGAGGGGGTCAATGGGGGAAAAATGAGGAACATCTGTAATATATTCAACAATAAAGATAAGTTAAAAAAATGAAAGAAAAAAAAAAGACTGCTCTGAATGTCAGCCGCTCCTGTCTTCTCAAGAGCTCTGCACCTTTGGTTATACTCTCCCTCTCTTTCATGTGCTACACACCCTATCTACACGTCACTTCATTTCCCATTCATACCTCAACTCTTAACTCTGGATTTGCCCTGATGTTCCCCCGGAACTACTTTTGTCAAGACTACCAGTAATCTCCATGATGCTAAAATCCATGGGCTATTTCTTTGAGGTCTGTTTCCTTGACCTTTGCAGAGTACTTTGAATTCATAACATTACTCTATCCTAACTTCCCTAGTCCTACACAAATGGCTGAGGAAGCTGAGGAACGCTTCTTTGCTAGCCTCTACACTCTATGTTAGAAGTCCTCAGAGCTAAATCTTGGGCTCTCTTCTTTCTCTATTCTACTCTCTAATAGGTGATTTCACCAACTATCATGGATTGTAAATACCATCTCTATGTTGATGGTTTTCAAATTTATATCTCTAGTCCAGACCTGTCTTCTGAATTATAGGCTTGCATTTTTAACTGCCTGCATATTCTTGCTTGGATGTTTCACTGGTTATCTCCAGCTCAATTTTAATTTCTTTCCCTCAAACTTGTCAACCATAATCCTGCCTAGGAATCATCCTTGGTTCTTCACTTTCCTTCACATCTATATGTAATCCATTAACAAGTTTAGAAAGTTGAGTTGGTTGTATATCTAAAATGTACTTCCAATCTTACCCCTTCTCTCCATCTCCACTGCAAACACCTTGGTCCATATATCATCTCTACAAAAGGCTACTAAATAGATTTCCTACCTCCCGTTTGGCCTCTCTATAATCCACACGGGGGCAAGTGATCATTTTAAAATTAGGATGGATTGGAGCACCTCACTGTACTATTTAAAACCCTTTAATGACTTTCAATTGAACTTAAAAAAAGCACTCAAATAAAATTGGCTTGTCATGGCCTATAAAACAATGAATAATGTGTCACTGTCTCTTTCTCCAACATCATCTTGCCCTGCCTTTTAACCTCACTTTCTAGCTCCAACGGTTGTCTTTCTTTTTCTTATAACTGCCTCCGTATCTTTATATATAATTATTTTCTTTGCCTGGAATATACAGATCCTCTCTCTTTGTGTGGCTATTTTTCTTATCCTTTATGTTTTAGCTTAACTGTCCCCTTATAAAAAAGGTCTTCTGTGACCTTTCCTCTATGATAAGCACCGAAGTCTGCAAATAACTGAGAAGTCATATAACATGTTGGATACAACTTTCAAACTACTTTTTATTAAGATAGTTGTAGCAAACAGTCACAAAAAGATAAGGGGTGCCCTGGCCAGTTTGGCTCAGCGGTTAGAGCGTCGGCCTGTGGTCTGGAGAGACCCGGGTTCGGTTCCCGCTAAGGGCACGTACTTCGGTTGCAGTTTGTCCCCGGCCCTGGTTGGTCGTGCGGGTGGCAGCCACTCGATGTGTCCCTTCACGTCGATGTTTCTGTCTGTCTCTCCCTTCCTCTCTCTCCCTCCCACTCTATCTGTACAAAAAATGAAAAAATATCCTCGGGTGAGGATAAAAAAAAACAAGAAAAAAAAAAAAAGATAAGGGGTGGCTTTTCCTTGATATAGCTATACAATTCTATATATCTTCACATTCAAATCCTGAAGTGGGAAACAACTTCCCAAAACTAGAAACTTCTCTTTTCCTTGTACACACTGTTGTCAGAATCTACTTTTCCTGTGAACAGGACTGAAGAGTGCCAGTGATTTTTTATCTCAAAAGGAAACATTCAAAAAGTTCTGGGTGCAATGCAGAAAATTGCATCATTATCAAGGTCCTAATTGTAGATAATATCCCATTACCATGGCCCACAATTCTTACCTGAGTTCCCAATCTTTTATTACCTCAACTTTTTGCCTAGATTTCTGATCCCTAAAATACTAAAAATTATCTCTGCTATAATCCCAGTTTATCTCCTTAATCCCAGTTTATCTTCTTCATTCCAAACCTACTACTTACTCTGACCTCCTAGTCTTGGCTTATTGCCCCTATCATCCAAGCA